CACAGAAGATATCATATTAGCAACATATAGTATCTAACATTATGGGTCTAATATTATCCTAAGAACTACAGATGTCCTGTGTTTGATGAGGGAATTTTTTAAAAAAGAATGCAGTTAGCTCAGCAATAGTGTCTGTCAATCATTCTAGAAACAGAAAAGTGTTAAAGGAGCAGAAAGCGCTAAAACGTTCTCAGCCTTAAAACTGAGGGGAAATGGATTCTGACCCAGCAATTGGAAAAGTCAGGGAGCAGATGAAAAACTCACATTTTCCCAGGAAACAGGAACAGGACTTTCTGTAATATCTGTGTAAAAATCAATGCAGTATCATTTATTACACAAGCATATACTCGCTTTTCTCTTTTTGCATCTTTATTATTTTTATAATTACTAAGGCAATAAATTGTGTAAAACTAAAGCATACAGAAATAGAATATTAAAATATAAACATCTCCAGGTATCCAGAAGTAACCACAGTTATCTTTTAATTACCATATGTCCAATTTACATTTCCTATGCAGCTTTAGAAAGGGAGCTCTAAAAGAAATTAAACTCATTCTGCACGTCCATTTCCATTTATTCAATTTTTATTTTTCAAATGAATATTGACCATCTATAATTGCATACATTTATGGAGTACAAAGTGATGTTATGATTTATGAGTACAACTAAATGTAGCTAGTTAGCATATTCATCACCTCAAATACTTAAAATATTTTGTGCTGAGAACATTTGAAATGTACTTTTAGCAATTTTGAAATGTGCAATACTCTATTATTAACTACATTCACCATGCTGTGCCCCATCCATTCCTATTAAAAGATTTTTTTTTCATTTTTATAGGTTTAGGGGCCATAAAGTGCATTTTTGTTACAAGGATATATTGAGTAGTTGAAATCTGAGCTTTTAGTGTAATCATTTTCTGAATAAATTGTACACAATAGGTACCCATTCATCCTTTAAACAAGAGTGTTAGCTCAGCTAGTTGTGATGGCTCATGCCAGTAATCCCAGCACTTTGGGAAGCCAAGGTGGGAGGATCGCCTGAGCCCAAGAGTTCAAGACCAGCCTGGGCAACACAGGGAGACCACATCCCTACAAAAAATAAAGAAAAATTAAAATAGCTGGGTGTGGTGACACATGCCTGTAGTCCCAGCTACTCAGGAGGCTGAGGTGAGAGGATCATTTGAGCCTGGGAGGTGGAGGGCTACGGTAAGCTATGATCATGCCACTGCACTCCAGCCTAAGCAACAGATCAAGACCCTGTCTCAAAAAAAAGTAGGGGAGTGGGGGATCAGCTCCATGAGGGGAGAAATCAGGGTGTGTCATGTTCACTGCAGTATCCCTAGTACATAACAGGTGATCTGTGAATATTTGTCACCTATATGCACAAATATTGCTATCCAGGGTGTACCACACTCTATCCTCGGTAAGATTCAGCAGTGGAAACACTGGGTAAAGTCTGCTTTCATGGAACTAGAGGATAGACATGATTGCCCCCATCCTCTCCTGTTTGTGAGAAGCCCTGAGGCCCATTCTCTGGACTCCGTTCCTCTCTTCCCACACTTACCTGTCCTCCACCCCTCCAGGAAGATTACCTGTATCTACTCCAACCATACTCCAACCTGGGTTGGGCTTGCATCTCTTGTACTCTTGCACATCAAAGCACCTGTCACACTAAAATGTCATTTATCTTCCTCTCTCCACTCTACCAGACTATAAACTCATTGAGATAGGAACTAGCTTTTTCTTATGTTTGTTTCATCTTTGTATTTGTAGCCCAATCCATTATTCACAGATGTTTAATCAATGAGTAAAGGGCTAAGTCGATGAATACATAGTTGCACACAGGAATGGGATCATTCCAGTGAAAGGGATTTAATCAGAATGTGTGGCTCTCATGGTGGGAATTTCAGGAATGGAGCAAGTGAGAATCTCTGGGCTCCTCATATCCCGGGAAGGCAGCTGCTGCTTTGGCCATGACAGGGTGAGCCCTAAAAATACTGGCTCTTTCTTTCTTTTTTTTTTTTTTTTTTTTTTTTTTTTTTTTTGAGACAGAGTTTTGCTCTTGTTGTCCAGGCTGGAGTGCAATGGCGCCATCTCAGCTCACTACAACCTTCGCCTCCCAAGTTCAGCCAATTCTCCTGCCTCAGCCTCCCAAGAAGCTGGAATTACAGGCATGTGCCACCACGCCTGGCTAATTTTGTATTTTTAGTAGAGACAGCGTTTCTCCATGCTGATCAGGCTGGTCTCAAACTGCTGACCTCAGGTGATCACCCCACCTCGGCCTCCTAAAATGCTGGGATTACAGGCTTGAGCCACCACACCAAGACTGGTTCTCCTTTCTATTCCTCTCTTTACTCCCTCTTAACTATGTCTTAAATTGAGCACTTGTTTTATGCTTCACCCAAATCTTGAGCTCACGAAATTTTCTCCATGTAGAGATGTCATTTCCTTGTTTACTTTTCTACTCTGTGCTTTATTCTTTCTATACTGATATGCAGTTTTGAAGAAAGTCACCAAATATTCAGATCTTGCAGGCAAAAAGCATTTGTTATAAAAATTATTTGAGACAACATAAGGTTTCCTTATTTAAACTCTCTTCAAATTGTCTAAGTTTTTACAAGTAGAAACTTCAAATTCTATGATGTAGAAAACCCTGTTTTCTACATTTACTTAAAGCTAGGTGAAATCTACATATCTAAGTCAGTTAGAAATTTTGTTTTCTCTTGTCCTCTACATTTTGTTTCCACAAGAGAAACATTCACTCACTTTTTTAGCCACCTTGTAGAGTCATGCTGGAAACTGAGATGAATCATCAAGTTTCCACAGCAGCTATAGGGAAACCTGAGCTGGGCAGCTGGACACTGGTATATAGAGGACATAGAACACCCATTTTACCCAGACAGTGCTCATTTATTTTCCATAGCATTTTAAAACTGGGCCTGGTACCACTATTCATCCTATTTATAGTTTTACATGCAACATAATATTTACTCCAGACTCTAATAGGAATGCTTCTTATAAATGTCAGTGGATTATTTACTATGGAACACTAATTAGTTATATAAATGCTTCCCTTTTCAGGGTGGATAAGGAGGAATCTGTTAATACTTCTTGGATTAACCTCTCATTATTGTCGTTTGAAGTTCTTTTACATTTAAGATAGTTATCACAAGATTGCACAACTTCGCATGCATCATACATCTGTTACTTAAGTGATGTGAAGCTTTTTCATTTTAACTCACATGGTGCAATAAAACAAAATGTGAATGCCATACACCCTGGGTTAAGAGAAAATCACTGCAACTTGACCATGAAAAATAATCAGCTTTCCATGATAATATTCTTGATTGGTGGTTTTAATTCATACTATTTTATAGCAATTAGATCAACTATGCAAAATTGTTATAAATGAAAGAAACATTGAAAAATCAGTGGTCTCAAAGGAATTATTACAGTGTTTGAAGTCCTGGACTTTCAGGAATTCAGATCAACAGCAACAGTAAAGAGCAAATGAGATCTATCTTTGGAGAGTTGTCATACACGGGCATGTTTCAACCTGGGGAGAGGAAGAACATGTTTTCCCCAGTTCTGATCACAAAGAGATTATCAATATTAAAAAACTGTAATGGAGTTTTTAAAAGATTCATTACTTTTTAAAAGATTATATTGCATTCCTGACCAAGGAAGTGGCATAAAATTAAATCCTATACGTGAAAAATACCCTATCACAGATCAGAAATTGTCATAATCAACTTCTGTGCTTGTTTAAAAATTATACTGATGACTGTGGAGTTTTCTCTGTACTAGGCTGGGGTCTAAATGTCTCACATGAATTGTCCTTTGATCCTCACGTGAACCCTCAGGTAAGCATTGTTTTTCTCCCCATTTGAAAGAGGAAGAAGTTAAGCCACAGAAGATTAAATAACTCCCCCAAGGTGGCATAATGAAGCTGGAATCCAATAAGGGACAGGTTCTGAAACTGTGCTTCAGCGACCCCTGGAGCTACAAGACCCTTAAGGGTGTCCTGGAGGTCAAAACTATGTTTGTAATAATGCTAAACTCTGATTTGCCCTTTTTATTCTCATGCTTTCACAAGTATATCATAGAGTTTTCCAGATGCTGCATGACAATGTAAGAGATTGAGTTGCAATAATACCCCAGTAGCAATGAGCACACCTAACACCCAAATCTTGGTTTCTAATACCATTCTCCAACAGAAGGAACCAGGGCTCTTTGGAGAAATGGCTGATTCTAAAGCCAGAGCAGAAAATATGAACTTGAAGGATCCTCTTGTGCCAAAAAATAAGGAAGTGCTTACTTATATCAAAGAAGCAAAGGAGCCCGCTGAAAGAGTCCCAATGTCCAAAACTAAACAACTCAAGCCACAAAATAAGGTACTGAATTATAATCCAAAGTATAAAATAAATATCTAAGATCCCATACTAATATAAATAAATAAAGGGAATATTTTCAAACCATTTATCAGATAAAGGGGTTAATGTCCAAAATATACAAGGAATTCATACTACCTTCATAACAAGAAAATAAATAACCCTGTTTAAAAATGGGCAAAGGACTTGAATATACATTTCTCAAAAGAAGACATAAATAATATAAAAGACATATATAATATAAAAAATGCTCAAGATTTCAATCCTCAGATAAATGCAAATTAAAACTGCAGTGAGATATAACTCACACCTGTGAGAATGGCTATTATCAAAAGATTGAAAGATTAAGTGTTGCAGAGGCTGTGGAGAAAAGGAGTGCCTTATATATTGTTGGTGGGAATATAAACTAGTATAGCAATTTCGGAAAACAGTATGGATGTTCCTCAAAAAAATAAAAGTAGAAACACTATATATATGATTCAGCAACTCCACTGTGGGGTACACACTCAAAGGAACTGAAGTCAGTGTGCCAAAGAGATATCTGCATGCCCACGTTCACTGCAGCATTATTCACCAGCACCAAGAAGTGGAAACAAACTCAGTGTCTATCAACAGATGAAATTTTTAATGTGATATCTACACACAATGAATATTATTCAGCCTTAAAAAACACAGAAAATTTTGTCATTTTTGACAACCTGACTGAACCTAGAGGTTATTACACTGAGTAAAATAAGCCCAGTATAAAGAGACAAATAGCGTATGGTCTCACTTATATATGGAATCTACAAAAGTCAAACTCATAGAAGTAGAACGTAGAATGATGGTTACCAGAGTCTGGTGAGTGCAGGGGTGTACAGGGAAAGGAGAGACATTGATCAGTGGGGACGAAGTTATAGTTAGACAGGAGGAATCAGTTCTGCTGTTCTGTTGCACAGCGAGATGATTATAGTTAATAAGAATGTATTGCATATTTCTAAATAGCTAAAAGAGGATTTTAAATGTTCTCACAACAAAGAAATGATAAACAGTTCAGGTGGATATGCTAATTACCCAGATTTGATCATTTCATACCACTATTATTTGTCAATTTAAAATAAAACAAAAAATAAGAAAATAAATGGGAAAAAAGAGTCAGGACTCCCAGTCAAAAGAATTCCAAATAATTTACGTAGCTACTCTCTACTACCTAGGTGCAAGTTACACTTCATTACTGTTTCCAAAGATTCCAGTATGGGAAGATGGGAAGAGGGTAACAAATACTGCTTCGGTGTAGGGATCAAGGTCAACGTTGACCGCAATAACTGATATTGATGATGTGTACCCTTGATACAATGTGAGGAAAATGGTACCTCACCTCTGTGGTATTCCTCCTCAAAACGCACAAAAATGGTTTAACTGTAAGAAAAACACCATATTCAAATAGAAGAGGATCCTACAAAATGCCTGACCAGAACTCCTCAAAACTGTCAAGGTCATCAAACACAAGGAAACTGAGAAACAGTCACAGCCAGGAGGAACCTAAAGAAACAGGACAACTAAGTGTTCTGTGGTATCCCAGATGCAATCCTGTGAATTTTTTTTTTTTAAGCACACTTGGTAAAAACTAAGGAAATCTGAATAAAGTATAGGCTTTGGCTAATGTTAATGTAGCAATATTCATACATTAATGATAATAAATGCACCAAACGAATATAAGATGCTAATAATTGGAGAACCTGGATACAGATTTTTGGGAATTCTCTGTATTGTCTCCTCAACTTTTCTGTAATTCTAAGACTGTTCTAAAAAATATTTTTTAAAAAGTGCCTTGTGATCCCCCAGCTCTGTCTTCCCCTTCAGAGGCAGGCCCTCATGTACCTAAGAGTCGGGACCTCCTTGGATTATGTGCCCTGAAGAGCTCGCTTACCTTATCCTGGTCCCAGCCCTGTTCTGCAGGAAGTCTGAGGATGGTGGATGAGGATCTAGTAGGTCTATAAGATGAAGGAGGGCCACCTGACCTGTACAGATGTAAAATAAATAATAAACATATTAAGCCACAGAGACTTCAGAATTTTAGAATTGTTATTGTTGCCTACCCTATTCTAATATAATAATCTGCCTTAGGGGTCAGCAAACTGTGCCCTGTAGGCCAGATTCAGTCTGCAGATTGTTTTTGTATACAAAGAATTGGTTTGTTCCTTTTTAATGGACTGAAGGAGGAAAAAGAGGAAGAGGAAGAAGAGGGGACTCCAGCGAAGAAGAGGGAATTGGGAGAGGGAAAGGGAAGGAAAGGAGGAGGAGAATGGAGAGGAGGAGGAAGAGAAACAGAGACCATAAGTGTCTTCAAAGCCTAAAATATTTACTATCTAGCCCTTTGTAGAAAAAAATCTACCAACTCCTCATCTACATCAAATAGATCATTTGTTTAAACAAAGGTTATATCTACTCGAATAAACTCTTCAAAGAAGTTTCAGTTATAACATAGACCCTACCATGAGAGCTCCCAACTCCACTATGAAATGGCTTATTTCATTTCTAAAATTTGTTCAGAAAGTAGAGGTTTCCAGTGACAACAAGTTCATATCAGTTACACCTCTATAGAAGATATGCCTTAACAAATGAAACATATTATTAAGCATCCAAAACCACATCTGTTCATTAAACCACATGTACCTAATTCTATTTTTGTAGCAGTAAAAGGTATTTAATTTCCCTTGTTATGTAGAAATGGGCCCTCTAAAAACTGATACACCATACTAATTTCAAAAGATAAAATTTCAGGCTGACTGTGGTGGCTTACACCTGTAACGCTAGCATTTTAGGAGGCCAAAGTAGGAGAATCTCGTGAGGCCAGAAGTTTGATTGGTCTGGGCAACCCCATCAAGGAAGAAGGAGAAGGAGAAGGAGAAGGAGGAGAAGGACGATGAGGAGGAGGAGTAGGAGGAGGAGGACAAGGAGGAGAAGGAGAGGAAGAGAGAAGGAGAAGGAGGAGAAGGAGAAGAGAAGGAGGAGAAAATTAGCTAGGCATGGTGGCACACATCTATAGTCCCAGCTACTTGGGAGGCTGAGGTAGTAGGATGGCTTTAGCCAAGGAGTTCAAGGATGCAGTGAGCTATGATCTTGCCACTGCACTCCGGTTTGGGAGACAGAGCAGTACCTCATCTTAAATAAAAAATTTTAAAAGATAAAATTTTAACTCTATAAGCCTAAGAAAGAAGGCATTTTATAGGTGAGTGTGGCCAGCTAACTTCCTTTAGTTAAGCATTCCTTCAAAAGAAAGATTTAAGAGAGATGCAACAATTTAAACATGTTTTCATTTTTCTTCACCACAGGATACTTTTTCTGTGATATGAACTCTTGACAAGTTTGGAGTCAAACCAAGCAAGGAAGAAATTCAATCCATGAGGAAAATAAAATATGTTGCATTATGAATCTGAGGGAATTAGAGATTATTAGTGCTGATGTCTTGATTCAGCAAATTATTGATTACAAAAATTACTGATTAAAGGCTTACAATGCATCTTACACTATGCTAAGTAGAAACATGCACTTGAGTTAAAAGATATTTATACAAAGCAAAAACCAAAGCTCAATGAGTTTACACATGGAACTATTTGTGTGCATATCTGTGTGTGTATGCATGCACCCACACACAGTCAGGAACAAACAGCCTATGTTTCAAAGCTGTATTTGTAAATGACTTGGGGGAGGTTTAGAGCACATTTACTCATGCAAAAATAACATTAAAGTTCTGGGCAAATGCTCAGCTGGTTCACAAAAGATAAATGTTGTGGTTTTGGTAGAATCCCAGGCACTGTGATAGAAACTTTGAACTAATCAATGGCACGATTTCCTTTAAGATACAGCTCTGGCTGTGAGCCATGAGCACTGCTCACCATTATAGTTAGTTGTCTGTGCTTCTGATTATATCGGCCAGAGAGCATCTTCTTGTCCTGAGCCCCACTCAAAGTTGGCAGCTATTCTATTGATAAGTTAGGCTGAGGAAGTGAGGAGGGCAGATGGCTAAGACCTGAGAAGAATTGGCTTCACACAGCAAGGGAGTTACAGGAACAAAAGAAAGTCCTCTTCCCCCAAGACTTAGGAAACAGCCAAAGGCTGAATTAATATATTTGGACCTATCATTTTCTTTCTTTAGATTTTCTAGTGCCATTAAAAGAATCCACCTTACCCACTACTCTTTCATTTCTTATACCTTCATACTATTCTGTGTCAGCAGTAAAGTGGTTCCTGAAATCTTGCCTTCAATGAGTGCTTCATTACAAGTGACCATAGGTGGTCACTGAATTAGTGTTCATCACTTCATGTCATGGTTGCCAGAATCCCATAACCAATACTAGTGCAAGTTTCACAGACCGCCCCCCTCCCAATTTTAGTTTTTCCCATCTCTAAGGATCTGTTGTCTGCATTGCACTCCCCATTATTAATTTCTGTATCAAAGTTCTTGATTTCAAACAAGAAAAACAACACACAACACACAGACATACCTCTAAATAATTAAAGATGAAAATAAATATATTGGAAGATATGGAGTGCCTGGAAGTCTGGAGTACATTGGTAAATGTGCTAGAACCAAATGTAGTTTCTAGACTGAGTGCTGCGGCCACAGTCTTTAAAACATTTCTCAATAGTAGTCCCTGTATCTTTATTTCTCTCCATCTGGATTCAAAATCCTTGGCAGGGCCAAGCACAGTGGCTCAGGCCTGTAATCCCGATACTTTGGGAGGCCAAGGCCGGCAGATTGCCTGAGCTCAGGAGTTTGAGACCAGCCTGGGCAACAGGGCAAAACCTCATCTCTACTAGAAATATAAAAAATTAGCAGGGCGTGGTGGTGTGTACCTGTAATCTTAGCTACTCAGGAGGCTAAAGCATGAAAATTGCTTAAACTCGGGAGGCAGAAGTTGCAGTGAGCTGAGACAGCACCACTGCACTCCAGCCTGGGTGACATAGTGAAACTCTGTCTCAAAACAAAACAAAACAGAAATCCTTGGAAGGAGCATTAAACTGGCTGAGCATGGTCACATGCTGGTATCTTTATTGCTGGAGATATGAAAGAACGAATTCCTATAGTTCGTACAAAGTGAAAGAAAGCCCTGCCTAGCACAAATTTGCAACCTCTGCCGGCTACCCAAGAATAGAAAAGAGGCCTGGGCATTGGGTACTCAAAAAAATTTAAACATCTACCAAAGTTTTGGCCCCATTCTACTGCAATTGTATGGATGTTGTCCCTCTTTCTCGCTAAGCTCTGAACTACTCCAGCCAGACACCTCCTTTGCATTGTATTCTCCATATCACAAGGCACATTGCCTGGCTCAGAGTAGGTCATCAAGAAAAGTGTTAAGTTGTTGTTGTTTGTTTTGTTTTGTTTTTAATACAAGAGCTCATAGAGCTCTTAAGAACCATAGACCAGAGGGTTAAACTAAGTGACTAAACAAATTATATATATATAAAAGATCAATAATAGTTAAGCCACCCTGGACCCAGCAGCATGGTCATCCTGAATTCACAGGGGATGAAAGGCCAGGTAGCTAAGACTAGCATGCACTCTGACCTGAGTTGCACAAAGGAAAGGGGTCTAGGAAGAGGTACCCAGAAACTGCTGACCAAGAAAACCTGTGAATAAATTGGGATCAAAATCTAGAATCTATAAATTAAAGCATTAAAAAAAAAAAAACTCATCCTATCTTTTAAAATAAAAATGCCTACTAACATATTGCATTTTCTCAAATGCACTCAAAGGAGTCTAGGCTAGTATAAGCTGGGAGACAAGATGAAGCTGAGTTTCTCGGTGGAGATCCCAGGATGGGAAAGATTGAGAGGCCAAATGGGGTTTGGAGAAGCCCAGGGAAAGAAACTAGGGCATGTCTTTCTCCTTATCACTCACTTAAAGGAGGAAGGAGGAAAATAAGAGCCAGGGACAGAGGTAAAGAAAGTGAAGAGAGAGAGAGAGAGAGAGAGAGAGAGAGAGAGAGTGTGTGTGTGTGTGTGTGTGTGTGTGTGTGTGTGTGTGTGT